ACTCCAGAAATTTTGCAGAGCAGGAGGAGGGAACCACCCCATAATGTTGATATTGCATTCTGTTTGTAGCAGAATCCTTTTTTTTTCCTCTTGTTTTAAATATAAAGCTTTTAAAAGCCAAGTGCTTATCTGTTGGCAACACACACAAAAAAAAAGAGACTAGTGCTGAAGGAAAGTCTTCCAACTTTTTGTGCTTTTATATGCAGTGCCTAGAATATTCTTGTCCAGTTTCTGTGAAGTTTAAAGGAAACTCGATAAAAAGGACAGATGAACTACAAAAAGCAGATGACTGAAAAGACATGTATTACAGGAAGAAATATTTCTAAATGCTTTCCAGTGTTGTACCTTTACTGAGAGTTCTCCTGCGCTACACAGCATGGTTACTCTGAGCACACCCACTTGAATTAGATGTGGTTACAGGATAAGGCTCACTGAAATTTGGCTCCAGGTTCTGAAATGTGGTTACTAGCTGTTTTTTCTGTCGATTCCTACAGCTCATGCTGTCAAAAACCACAGAGAGACAATGACAACAAAGAAATTGTGAAAGAACATGTGCCTCTCTGTGCAGAAAGGAGTGAATGCTGGAGCCAGAAAAGTGGCGGAGTCTCTACAATCAGAACACTTACATCTGACAGTACTGGCTTGGATAGTGACCAATATTTCTTCACATAAAGCAGCATCACACACTGACAACCATAGTGAAACAGCACTAAACACTGGTATTTCTGTCATTCACATGAAAACGAGTAAACATTCTAATGAGGTTAATCTCTCTGGTGCTTCCCTTCCTTCTGTCTCCCAACCTGCCAAAGAGCAGCCCAAATTTTTTGCAAATAGACTTATTTGAGATTGCTCAGCTGAGGCAGGTGTCCAAACTGGTAAAAAGTATCATTCTGCCTAGAAAAGCGTATTCTTCTTTTGCACCACTTCTCAGTATCATTTCAAAATATAACTGCTGCATAACTTGAATAGTAGGCAGATATTTCTGACTCATTTATTTTTACACCTCTTTTTTAACACACATATTTCTCTGGAGGGACTTAAAACCAAGACCTGATCAACTAACAAAGTCTATTTTGGCTACAGCTTTATGACAACGAAAACACCTCAGAGGAAGAATTAAATATGTTACAGGACTGTGTCTACATCTCTTCTCCTTTTTATATTTGTGTTAGAACAGGTTAATGGTATTCATTACATAATGTAGATTTGTATACAGAAACTAAATAGCATACTAGTGGGAATGAATGCCATGTAAAGTATAACTCTGGAATACATTTTTTTTGGTCCATTATGATAATTTATTATAAACGATACTTTATAGTAATAACATTTTCAGACACTGAACTGACTGACTGGCATGAAAGTACTAAAAACTGCAACTTCCGCACCCACAAAACAGACATGCAAATACAGACAGCGCAGGTGAAACTTATTTTGCATGTAATGTTGCATTAACTGCTGATAACAGGCATTTTAAGGAATAAGCACAATTTCATATATAGAGAGCATTTTGGGACTATCTTAGTCCCAAAACGATTTAAAGGCTGAAATCAGGCTTCAAAGCTGTAACTTACTACCATCCAATCTAAACAATTCTATGAAGATATTACATACATATATATTTTAAATCTAAGAATAACTTCTCATAGACTATTGTCCCATTTTGTGATTATAATCAAGTAAGGAGTCCAGGTAAAAAGCAATTATCAATCACAGAAAGGTAATAAAAAGATCTAGGTAGATTGTGCAAGAATTTGCAGAGCGCATGCACACACAAACGTGTTCTGCAGATAGTGTGTATACGTTTATCTACAGAGTGGGTCATGCATTCAATGCAATTAAAAATTCTCCTGAGGAATCTCAACATAAAACTTCACCAATTGCTTTCATACCCATTGAAAATCTTTGTTGGCATAAAACCTACATACAGAATCAGCAGTTACCTCACCACAAAACCTCCTTCCATTATGCTAATGTTTCCATCATATGAAAAACACCCTGATGTGTGAAATAGTGACATCTCAGTGAGACAGGACAAAGTAAGGCGAACTGCAGATCTTTGATCTAGCTGAAAGGGCTCTGCATTCTGATTAGAATTTTTGCTGGGATCCTAGGAGATGAAAGGATTTTTTTAAGTCTGACAGTTAACAGAGGGGGGGAGGTATTCAGAAGAGAACAAAAAGAGGAGCACTGAAAGCAGATGACGTCATGCCTCAAACTGGCCTTTACCATCTTACTGACATGTTTCACAATGTGGCATAGCAGTTTCCACACAGCTATTCTTGGGAGCTCAAGAGCCTCTGTGGAGACAGTACGGCTGGAGATCCACTGCTTTTAAAGGATAGAAAATTGAAACAGGTCTAGATATAATACATATATTGTATTTCAGAACCCTAAATGCATTATGGTAATGCTCCAGAATACTACTTTTTGAAACGTGTGACATAACAGAAGGAAACTCTCCAGTCTACAAAGTTAACGATTACAAGTTCTGTCACTCCTGTCTTCAGAAAACCTCCAGATAGCAAGCATACTTTCCCCTGATTCTTCCTGCAGGGATTTTGCCTTTTGTACCAGGAACATCTTCCAGCCTTGTAGGAGCCTTGGAACTGACTACCCTTCACCTCAGGTTGCCAGAGGCACCAAACACTGGGGAGAGATATCAAAATCCCTTCTTTATACTCTACAAGCAGTTAAGGGGAAAAACTCAGGACTCTGGGAACATTCTCTCATTTATGTTCAGGAAAATGCACATACAGTCAACTTACCAGACTATGTACATGACATCTGTTTGCAATGGATTTGTATACCTCAGAGGACACAAAACCAGTCTTTATTTTACACTGCCTTTCTCCTTTTTAAAAGGTTATTCTCCTTACATAGAGTACAAAAATTGTGCTTGGAACTGTTTCTCATGAAGGCCTAAAAAGAGATTACTTGTCAAAGCTTCTCTGCTCCTTAATTCTCCCTCTCTACCCCCTTCATTTATGTCTCCTGGTGTGGCCCCTTTTTCAGGACTTTTTTGTGCCAAACATGCTCCCAGATGCAAAGGCATATCTTTATAAACACGTCCTTCATTTGAACTCCAGTCTAAGTGCAAAGACCAGTTAAAGGGGTCTTGCAAATACCAATCACTACCTGCATATATGTGCATTTTTGAGAACAGTTTCATGGATCAATGCTGGAATGAACTGAAAAACGTTGCTAACATCACCAAAAGACTAACCATTTTGCAACACCAAAACAAAGCAGCATTACAGAGACACAAAGAAAAATTCCAGCTAAAGCATGTCTGACAAGCCATATGACACATCAGTACTTCTCTATTCTCTCCACATTGATACAAATGATCATATCTGATGTGCACATAACTATATTCTCACCAGCCATGGGAGAATTATTTCTTAGGGAATTATTCTTGAACTGTAACTCTCTACACAAGGATGTGTTCTTAAGATAGAAACCTTGTATTTTAAACTGATGAATTAGCTAGGTACAGATGAAAAGTAAAAAGGATATTTACATGTTAGGAGATTCCCATACCATTCTCTACCTCTTACTATGGACCATTTTCTTGCTTCTATTTTTTTGTCACTTTCCTTGAACTTTTTTCAAAAAGAAAGAACATGTAAGAATAAAGAACCTGAAAGATACATTATATATGGATGTCTCACTATCTGGATTTTATCTGTACCATTTTGAGACTTAGTAATTCACTTGCCTCTGCATGTCAGGGAAATCAAAGGTCTCTTGACACCCCTGATCACAGAGGTCCTGACTCAGTCAGAGAGGGCTTAAGTACGTGTGGCACAAAATACTTTTCAATCTTCAATAATGTTACTCAAGGGTACCAGACGGCTTGCATTAAAGTGGCTTTACCTTGTCCTGTTTTCATCTCTGCCATTGCAGGATGGAAAATTCATTTTTGACCACAGATTCTGACACGACTAAGGAAATCTTGATCAAAAGGAATGAAAGCTCTACTAACTTCCCCTCTGTGAGAGATTCTTCCTATTTTTATTTTTTCACTACAGGATATTGCTAGTATTCAGATACTGTCCCATTAGTATCAGTGAATTATGGAGATCTGAATTCTAATGAAATTATGTATTTAAAACTATGCATTCAATTAAAACAGCCATCCAGCAAACATCTTAATTAAAATAAAAACCATTGTTATTTACAAATAACAACCTGACATTATTTGTAAGGATGCCTTCTCACACGTTTTGACAGCATGAGTTACTTTCTCCATCAGAAGACTTAGTTTTCAATGTGTGTGTGCAACCATCCATAAAGGAATTAATTTCTTTTAGTGATCAGCAAGAATTTTTGCCCTCTTAAAGTCAATATTGAGAGGTATTGACTTCAAGCAAGCAAGCAAGCATTCAACCTGACACCAGCAGTAAAGGTACCCTGTACACTTCACTCAACACAAGAATAGTTGCAGAAAACCCTAACAACCCATGCATAAGGTGAACCACACAGCTGATCTGGGAAACATGAAAGTAGTAAGGGGATAAAAACTACACTTCATTCAACCTTGACCTAATCATTACCATAGGATGTCCATTTTCATTTTTGCTAGTTCCAAGGAAACAAGCTTCATTGAGTCCTATACATGCACACACAAATATGCAAATAGCACATTTAGATAAATAATGACTTAGTAATAAAAAACTATCAGAAGGAAAAGCTGTGAACAAACATAATTCCTTATAATTTCTAATGTAAACCACAGCTGGAGGTTGCACTGGCTGTTCAGTAGTTCAGACTAACATGCCTGACAGGAATCAATGCCAGAGGTCCAGAGGAGGACAGCCATAACAACCAAGAAAGCCCTTAGGTGTGAGTTGTAAGACAAGTAGATGAGCATACTTTGCTAGAGAGAAATCAAAGCCAGTAAGCTGTAAAGGGTCAGTCTTCTTCAAAGGACAACACTTCATGGTATTTACTTGTATGATTCAAAGTTCTTGCTGGGGAGAAAAGATGCTTACTTGTAAAGGTAGTATTCAGCTTGATCCACTTCTTCTCGTGAAGAAATGTTGTCAACAAACTGATTAAAACATAAGAAACAAAAGCTTCAAGACGGAGCACTCACAAAGCATATTAGAAAAAAATGCAATAACAAAATACATTCGTCAGCATATTTAGCTGTCTGACAGTACTGGAATTCTTCACATCTTTGCTTGCTCCTAACTCTGGTTTCTTCTAGACTGCTAGAAGTCAAATCTTTCTGAACTGATATAATTCCCTTCCTCACCTCTCAGAAACTTTATGCAACTTGCAGACCATTTGAGGATTAAGTCTCCACAGTTTAGTACCCTGTATTTTTGGTGCTCTTCTGAATTTTTTCTCTTAATCACATCCTTTATTTTAAGAATACATTCAGGTCCTTAGGTTTGTTTGCTACAGTTTTAAGTGAGCCTTGACATACCTTAATTCTCTTCAAAAAAATATCTTTTTCTCTAAAGTTGACTGTTGTGCCTATTCTTACTATATATTCTGAAGGACAAGAGCAAAAGCATTTTGTATTTCACCATGCATATAAACACTGGTACAAAAAAAAATCAAACCCCATGCTATAAAACACAATTTTCCTTTCATTTACAACCCTGTCTTCTTCAGGCAATCTTACAAAATTCCCAGTGCTATCAACTAAATACAAGCCAAGTTTTCACCCAGACTTTGTGTTATGGTAAGTGTATCCTGTTTTCCTGCACCTTGTACTAACATAAAGACACTGAAACACTAGAGTCTTCCCAACATAATACCTCTAGCTGAGAATATATAAATATGTTCTCAAGGTCAGTACTTGTCTGTATCCTAAGCTAAAAATAATAATTTCAGCTGACTGGTATTTGATCTCCCATTTCTTAATTATCCTTGCATGCTGTACATATATAGGTCTCATCTTTTAAGTGTGGCAATAGCATGCCTGGGTCCTTTATCTACATTTTAGAAAATAAGTATCTGCTGTGAGCTCCAGGTATTGGAAAGTGGGGCTGTTTGACAATCTGAAAATGCCATTTCTCCACAAAAAAGGTACCCCAAAGCAGGAGAATGCAGGAAAGGAATAAAGCTATTTAATAAAAGGGAGAGGAACACATTTCTCTCATGGACCCTGTCTCAGAAGCAATGATCAAGAATGCTAGATCTGTAAAAATGCTTGCTCTTATAACTGAACAAAGGGTTCTGTGACTCCTCAGTCAGTGGTGCAAATGATCCTAATTAATGATATTACTGAGGTACAAGGGCGGTAATTCAGTTTTTCGTGGCAATTTTGAAGACTGAAATTCGTTTGTTTTCCTTTTTTTAAACAAGTGACATATTTATTCTCCTTCTTCAATACAAACTCTCTTACACAGGTAACTTAAAAACACAGCTCACATCTTTGCTTTCACTCCCCCTCTCCAGATTAACCCATGCAGAGGATGGAACTCATTACTAATTCAAGTAAAAATAATGGCTTTGCTTAACCCCTGTCAGCATTTGTTCTGCCTCAGTCTGCTGCAAGGAAAGAAAACTACAGAAGCAAAATACGTCTACCTCTGCCTCACTGAAAGAAGTCTGGAAGTGGAGGAAGACAGACAGTGCAGGGTGTTAATTTATTGCATTCCCTTAGCAGCCTGGGTTCTTATGCAGTGCCTGACGAGGCATTAAAGCTCTCACAAAGACAGAAACCACAAGAAGGTTGGGAACATATACTAGGGAAAAACACAACCCACTAATAGTGAGGCCTGATTTTACAGAAAAAAGAAATATTTTGTTCTGAAGACCCTACGGTCCAGATACTAACTAATGAGTCTAAAGTAACAATAAAACGGCTTTATACAGCCATGTAACAGTATAGCAAGACATTTTTGATCCCAGAACTCCCAACTGAGGTGATATCATTTATTCCTTCTCAGCTCACTTGATTATACAAGCATTCCACGGTCATTTCTATGACTTCATGATTGGGATTTATTTTCTTACCCGGGCTATTGTCAAAGAGCTGACAGGCAGCTTTCTTTCATAGGTTCTGTCCATTAAGTGGGCCAAGTCAGCTGGAGAAAGCAGAAAAAGAGTACATTTAATCAACTGGCATTACAGGAAAATCTGCAGAGCCATCATATAACCTTGAATAGAACCTGTGTCCACGAAATCAAATTCTGGTTACTTTTTAACATCTCATTTTGAAGTTGTATGAAAACAGTACTTTCAATTATTGTTAAATACTTTAACAGAAAATAATACATTAAAAGGTTCTCAACATGATGATCCTAACTTATTAGTAAAGTGGGGGGGAAGCAAACTACCCTATAATGTGCTGGATGAAATTCATATAACTACTATAACTCATCTAAAAAAAAAACAACTGACCAGATGTCCTCAGAATTCCCACTTGGTTTCAAGCCTAGCATACGCTGGACAGTGCTTTTGGCATGGATTTTTATTTTACAGTAAAACAATGAGAAACAGAAACCAGCAGTTTCTCATTGTACTGGTACAGTACAACCAGTACCCTACTGACAAACTCTTCCATCACAAACAGCAATACAAAGAAATCCTATAAATCAAATTGAGCACTGTGCCAGTACCTTGTTAACTTTATAGCATTCTCTTCAGCAGTCATGTAACAATATTAATTCAACCATACACAACTTGAAACTTCTGACTGTTGAACAGGTAGCCAGCCATTGCTGCATTTAATGAATTTAACTGGAAGTTAAATTAATTTAATTTGGAGTTTTAGTTTTATACTGTTCCTGGAAAATGAAGATGACAACAAAGGATGCTGAGCTGATGTGGGCCACCAAAGCCATGCTACACCAGATAACCACTAAAAAGCAGATTGACTTCTTGATTGGTAAAGAAATTTAAGTGGGAATAGCCTTACAAGAAGTGTCTGTATTTGACTCTATATTATTCAACTCTCTAGCAGTCACAAACACCATGATGACACACACGGGCAAAGGCGTTGGGAGCTTTCCCAGTAGTGACAGAAGTTAGAGAGAAGGGATGCTAAGACTAAGTCAACTTCTCCAGAACAAAGACTGCCTAGGTCCTTGCCTAAATGTACCAAGCCAACTGTCATCCACCATTCTTCATCTCCATTTCGAGACAGTTGGAAAGAAGTATTCGTTCCAAAATCTGATATACTGGACACAGCAATCTGGGCCTGAAACAGACAACTGCACATATTGGGAGTTCATTTATCTGTTGCAGAACTACAGTTGTTACGCATCACTCCTGAAAACTAGGTGATCCCTACAGCCATTTTGGGCCACACTCAAGCCCTGAGCTTGGCATTTCTTTTGTCTAGGTGCTCATGAAGATGAACAGCCCACTGAGTACTTAAGCAGAATATAAACCCAACAAATACAATGGCATGAATGCAAGATCACAAGACTGTTAGCCATTATACACTAGCATCCTCTGGGAGAGTTCGCACACAGAATTTTAATCACTGACCTTTAATGCTGCCTACAAAGCTGGAACTCTCCACCAGAACTATAGTATGGAAAGCAACATGAAGCACTTATCAATCAACTCCAGTGTAAGAGTCACAATAAACTGAAAGTTGATTAAATCTAAAAGAATAGCAGACAAATTAAGATAATGGGAAATTCAGTTTTGTTTCCATACAAGCTGTTGTTTCTGTGGTAGTTTCTAGATAAGAATAATTTGCAGTGAGTAATTCTTTACTGGTTTGTTTTCTCTGAAGAGCATCTAAAATCAGACTTTTTTTTCCTCATATTCACAGTTTGAAATAATTCAGCTACCTTTTGTAAATCAAGTTTTCTCCATTGTTGCTACTCAACAATCAAGATTAAAACTTCTTCGTCAAAAAAAACTTGACAGAAGTACTAGAATGCAAGCATGTGAATGCCCAAATCTCCTGTCACTGTTGGTAGTAAAACTTGAGTGCTAACATTAGTATATAAACCAAATCAATATTTTAACAGACAGATCAGAATTCTATGTTCATTTTAACTGATACATGTTGCAAGTGCTTTTATGTGACTACTTACCAAAGAGGACACTACTGTATATAATCTCTCATACACACTGCCTAAAAATACATTTCTACAAGATTAACTCCTTCAAAACTAAACTTCTCTAAAAACATAGTTCTGTATATTGAAGAATCTAATGGATTTAAACAAACTAACAAAACAAACCATAAATATGAGCTGAGGTAAACTTCCAGGCATGTGGTCTCTAGAAGATCGGTGTCTGAGACTTCATGCTCCCTTTTATTTTAATTTTTTCACATAAACTCAGTGTCTTGCTGCCTGCAACAGGGTGATTAAGGACACTGACTGAGAAAATACTGACCGTCACCTTCCAAGTCAGTTGTTATGACTTCTAACACCAGTTTGGTGGCCTAGGAAATCATCACAGTATCAGTCTGGTTCACAGCGTGTACCTATCCACAGAACGTAGCCACATCAACAAGTAGAACATTATCAATAAGTGGCACGTTTAACCACCACGTAAGGTCACTTTTATTCTGTTTATATCCTTGTATTCTTAGAAGTGGTTTGATCCAGTGATAGAGAAAGAAGATAAAAATGTGGTGCAAAATTTACTTGTCCTGGGAATGATGGGCAGAGCTAACTCATAGGCTAACCATTTAATATAAGGAAAGCCTTGATTTATTTTAAAGATCCAATTAAAATATAAAGGAAGGCTAAGGCAAATATTTTACACCTTACAATTTATACGTTCCACATTTCTCTCTATTTCCACACAATTAGCAGCTTCTGGAAAGAACAACAGTTTTGTACTGAACAAGGCTTTGAATGGAAGTTATTCAAGACTGTAAAGGCAGCACTGCCACCTGGTGTTGCAGGTGAGCCATTTTAGGCACTCTGAATCTAACAAGCCATCCCCTGGGATTCTGGTAATTGTTTTTCTTTTCATGAAGGTGCTTACTGTGACTTACTTTCATTCTTGTTAGTGATGAACCAACTGAAGCAATAGAGAATTTAAGCCGAGCCATGCCTTCTATTTCCTTGATACTTCATTTTTAGTAAATGGAGTCCAAACCACATCTAGGCAGGTATCTTCCTACCAGCAAGCAGCTTGTAAATTCCAAATTAACATAATTTCTATTCCTATCTTTTTGAACAAATGCCTTTTTGTACACAAAATACAGACGTGTTCTTTCCCACACATTTTTCAGTACTGAAGTTTGCTAAACTCATTCCTGCCTGGAATTCTAAATTGAGGTTACAGAGATGACAATAAAGTGTATCTTACATGGACGCAGTAAATGAGTTCAAGTCTGGGATGGCACATTATTGCAGCAGAGAAATGGAATTGACTTTAAATAAGAAAATACTTAAATACTTTTTTTTCCTTTAAAAGTATCCTCACAACATAGTTTTGCATAATAACACTTCTGAAACAATGTCTGAAGAACAAATAAAAGAGCATCTCCTCAGCACAAGGAACTCACTGAAGCTATAATCAGCAGTTACCACACAAGATTATATGTGCAACCATACAACTGACAGCTACAGAGCAGACGTCTGCAGGGCTGTCTCCTCTTTGAAAATGCTAATAAAGCTGACACCATGTTAACTTATTTTCTCTTTTCTGTGAACACAAAATGAAAATGCAAAGCAGTTCTTTGAAAAGCATGGAACAGACATCTGCTTTGGATCAAGATAATCAGCAGAGGAGCAGCAAGAACTGTGCCTGCCAAACAGTCACAGAAGATCTTGCCAGGCCTGGGAAAAGCCAAACACAGACTGGACCAGCACTTGCGTAACAGTGTTTTCTTCAGTGGTGGATTTCTACTGGCTATGACATTTGTCAAAATAATAACCCATTTTCACCTGAAGGTGACTGGTTCAAATACATCACAGGGCACAAATTTGTGGCTCCAGCCCAAAAAACACTGCACGAGCAGTCCTATTGACAGTAAAGGGTAACATGGTATTAACAGTCTCTGCAGGATCCTAGCTACAGCCACGAGGACCCACCAATTGTTTCTGATCCAGGTACAGTATAACATGTTGGCAATCCCAACCCCTACATGCTCAAGTGAAAATACGAGAAACAAATCAAGGCATAAAAAAACATAATTCTGATCATTTTGTCTGGCTTCCTGCTTGACACAACTCCTGGAATTTCACCTGCTGATTCTTCTTTCAGCCTCATAATCTGCATTGTAAGTAACAACTACGGTTCAGGGGCCCAGGAAAGAAAAAGAGAAGACAAGGATTACGCATTAAGGAGTCTCCAAACACCTGTGGTACAAAATACTGCATATCTATCTTTAGCATGGAAATATGTTTTGCAAGATGTTTTCTATTTAACATAGTCACCAAAAAGATGGTGGAATGTAATTTCAAATGTAACACAGCCAAATAATTTAGCTATAAAACTTGCACTAGAGATCTCAGTTCCGTATGCAGATACAGTTTAATGTATAGTTTCTTGAAAATAAAACTTTTAGTTTCATTCCGCCCCAAAAAATCTGTAATTCAACAAGAAACTGCAAAACTCTGAGGAAAATGTTCCTTTTAAAAAATGTCTTTAAACAGGACTGCCCTGCGATACTTAGTTTTTCTTTCGCACTGCTGTACAATTAAAACAATGTCAACGAAGATGACACTCAGATACAGCCATAAAACTTTGGATTTTGTGAAAGAAAAAAACTAGCTTGTAGAAACCAAATATTAATCAAATGGGCAAATTCTAACTTGTTTCTGCATTACAGCTTTGAATAGTTATGCTGAACACCTTTTGACATAGAACCTTAGAAGCATATTGCTTCACACATTTTCTTATTTACAGATGATGAGCTAGTAAAAAATTAGTTTAGCTTGCTATTCATTTGATAAAGTGGAGACAAGAAACAAACTTTTCTCACCCAGGTTATGCTCCTCTTTTTGTCTCTTTTCCCATTTTGAGCTATCCACATAGGCCGCAGAAAGAAGAGATCTTCTACCTAATGAAGAAAGACAATACTATGTAAGCTAGTTTGTTTAGACAACTCTAAACAAAGTAACATTTTATTAGATATTATCTTCTACTGTCTTTACTGAATGGGATGCATTAAGCTGTTTTTATAACATAGCAGTCAGCAACTACTACTGTAACAATTCTGATTAATTGTAATTATTATTATTTTAATTAGTATTTAATTATTATTATTATACTTATTTTTATTTATTTTTATTATTTCCTTGTAATATTTAAAACAGAAAAGCTTTCCCCTATAAGGTTTTTTTCATCACGAAACAAATATTTCCAAACCTGAACTCTCTATTTAAGAAAAGGACAAATTTGTAAAGGCAGAAAAAACCCCAAAGAATAATAAAAGCAGTTTCTTTGTGCACGCAGACCTTTTTTATCAAATGCTATCAATTAGCTAAGTGTAGGCTAAAAAACATAAGCAAAAAACATGGCTATGCACAAAAAGGCTTTTCTGTTGTTGCTGGATAGTTATTTTTTCTACCTGTAAAGACTTGTCTCACTGGAAGTGAAAGTTAGAAGCTCATCTGGAAATACTTCCCTTTTAATATTCTCCATTTTTTCCATCTCCTGTGAATTGTGCATTCACGGAAACATTTTTGGAAGTTTTTTCCAAATACTCATTGTACTCATACCTTTGAAATCTGCTCAAGATGCTGTACTAGCTTTTGAAACAAAACAGAAAATACTTCAGCTGGAAAAATTTGTACATCAGCCACAGATGATGTGTTCTTGAAAATGCATGAGGAAGACATGGATAAAATTTGTTGAAGGAAGATACAGGAATACATGTAGAAGGTTGCAGAAAGTAATGTTAAGAAATATGAAATATTTTAGAAATAGACATTACAATGCTACACAGGAGTCTAAGCAACTACCTTAAGGCTTTAATCCGAAAATCAGCTCCCTCTGAAAGTTTAGTTTTGGTTGTGAAACAATTTTTCTCCTCATCCTTCTGACACACCATTATAAACACATGTCCACCTCTGAACAACCTTGCAGACCTCTATCAAAAAGGCCCAGAACACAGAATTCCACAGTCAGAATATGAGAGTATGTACATCACTTCACCAAACAGGAAATAAGGTATTTTTGTTTGGTTAATACGGTTTCTTTTAGTGCTATTTTTCATTAGGTTGACAAAAGAGACATACGGAAGACCTGGGGAGGTTGGTGTGGGTTTCTGGGGACTTTTTGGTTGGTTTTTTTTTAGGATAAATTACTGTATGCTTATTCACGCGAAGGATGCCACTAGCAAGCATGAGGCTTTACAGAACTATTTTCTGTAGTAAAACTGTCCGCCTGACAGCTCTATGCTCGGGTAAGCCGAGGTCAGGGCTGAGCTCTTCACGCCGGTTCAGCGCCAGAGGGAAGGGCGGCGCGGTTGAACCCTGGGCATCCAGTAAGCAGAACGCAGGAAAGCGTGCTCCGCGTGTGAAAAGGCACAACGGAGTCACCCATCACCACCACTCTTCAGGCAAACGTTACTGAGCTCAGTTCCTCCCAAGGGGTCACATTTTTGTCTCTTCCAAGACATCAGCCTTGCGGCTCTTCTGTCACCGGCGTTACCAGGTTGTGCTGGGCACTCACTGCCACGGGCTTGGCGGCCTCTCCTACAATTCCGCGTGGGTTCCCCCGGCCCAAAGGGGCAGGCCCTAAAATGTCGAACTATGAAATCCGCACGGTGGAGGATCCACTAAAATACAAACTGCGAACACTCTCCTACACTGCACGCCAGCGATAAGACGTCCACAGAGCTGCCTCCAATTTCACACAGATATACGAAGAGAGAGAGAAATGGGGGAAGGTGAGGGCAGTCCCGGCGCAGCATCCCACCCCTGCTCACGCTTCCCACCTCCGCCTGCGGCAACCACGGCCACCAGCGCCGTGCCCCGGCCGCGCCCCCCAGCAGTGCACCGACCTGGGGCCGCGCCGAGGGCCCTCCCGCTGCGGAGCACGGCGCGCCGGAGCACGGGGGCGGCCATGGTGCCGAGGCCGGAGGAGGTGGGTGGCGCGGGGAGATTGCGAGCGCCCCGGTTCGCCCCGCCCCGCGGGCTGGGCCGTGAGATGGCGGCGGTGCTGGCGGGCGGGTCCCGGCGGGCGGCGCGGGAGGCGGCGCGGCGCTCGGCGGTTCGCCTGCCCGTCCCGGGCGCCTGGGGCTGCGTGGCCGCAGGTACTGCGGGCTTCGCGGCAGGGGCGGGCGGGGGGAGCCTGGCCGGGGAGCGAGGCTGCCCGCCGGTGCGGGGGATACCGGGTACGGCAGCACTCGGCAGGTCCGGCGCCGCCGCCAGGCGTGTGCCTGACGGGAACTGTAGTTCCTGCCTGGATGCCCTTCGGGGCGCGTGGTGTTGTGGCGGGGAGCGCCGAGGGGCTCCTGGTGGGCAGGCCGTGCAGGGAGGGTGGGCAGTGGCCTTACGAGATCACAGAATGAATCCCAGAATGGCCTGGGTTGGAGGGGACCTTAAAGATCGTCCAGTTTCAACCCCCTGCCATGGGGACACTTTCTACGGGATCGGGTTGCCCAGAACCCCATTCAACTTGGCCCTGAGCGTTTCCTGTGATGGAACATGCACAGCTTCTCTGGGCTATTCCAGTGCCTCACCACTCTCAGAGTAAAGAATTTCTTCCTAATATCTAATCTAAACCTACTCTATTTTAGTCAAAAGCCATTCCTCCTTGTCCTAGCACTACATGCCATTGTGAAAGTCCCTCTCCATCTTTCCTGTAGGCCCTCTTCAGGTACTGAAAGGCCACAGTAAGGTCACCCTGGAGGTCAGCGTTAGTGAGTGGATCTCCTACTTGCTGCTGTCAGGATGTGACATTGAAAAGGAAACAACCAACCGAACACATGTGCAGTTTCATAAATGTGTGTTTATTCTGGGAGGATGACAGTGTTATCCAGACTCTGGGCTTCAGAGGCCTTCCAAAGGCACTCCCTTGCCCAGAGAAGGAAATGGGGGCACATGGAAAAGAGGTGTATGTTGCAGAGCTCTGAGCCCAGGCCCTGGCTGGGCTCCTGGCCTGTGGAGGCCTCGCTCAGGTTACAGCTCTGTTAGACCCCTCAGAGACATGGAGCCCTCCATTCTGCCTCATGCTCTGCCCACCCCTCTTCACTGGCCAGCCTGGTAGAGGGTTGTGAGGCAGAGCAGGTTGGTTGGTTAAGTTCTCTGGGATAGCCTGCACCACCTGCACATGCCAGCAGTCATATCCATCTCCCTCCTTTTTCATTGGAGGTCCCTTTGCTTGGTTTTGCACTGGTTTGTTTCTGTAATGCTGTAAGGTGTGAATCTAAGGAAGCAGTGGAATTCATCAAATTGAATTCAAGAAGGGTAAAATTCTGCTGCCCCCCACTCTCTGCTGACACTGTCCGTGACCACGGAGTGTCTGTGATATGCAGTGTGCTGGTCCCACCCCAGGCACTAGCATGATTCCTGCACCAGCTCTGGAGAGGCCCAGGACTGAGATGGGCTTTCGCTGTTAAACCAGGTCTGTGGAACCTAAATGGTGGCTAATACAGGTTAATTTCGTGCTGGATAAATTGTGTTTGTTTTCCCATTGGAATAGTTTCCATTAAATTTAATGGATGAATGTGCTATTTAATGGATTTTTTGCTTCAGGTTTTATGAAGTGTGTCATTAGCATGCTTTGCTTGCATAGAAAACAAGTGGGTTTTTTTGCATGGCCTGTTACATTTTTCTGGGGAAATGCAGAATGAGAATAAACAACCTAACTCAGTTCAATACTTATTCTTGTCCCTTCATGGTTCCGATAATTCTTTAAGAAGCCACAACTTTAAAATATTAGATTGTAACAATGTAAGCTACTACAGTGACTGTCTGTTACAAAGTTATTAGTTGCAAATAAAAATCTAATGGACATCTGATTTTGTAACAGCAAAAACTTGTCAAACAGCTTTTGCATGACACTTTTATTAAAGCAGCTTGCAAGACGGTACAGTTGAGGTCAGCACCCAAAGTTAATGTTGAGCTTCTAGATTAATTAACTGTCTTACCTCTATGTCTGTAGTGCAACAGAACTTCACTAGGTCTCCTGAGTGTTACTGGAATCCAAGTAATGCAATTGGTGTTTTTATAAATTCAAAAAATAAGCTTTTTGTGTCTTCCTACTGCATTTGGAGCTTCCAGAATGATGCGTTCTACAGCAGTGGGGACAGCACTTAAGGGGAAAGCAAGCTGTGCCACTAGTGAATTGTGGACAATAAAGAAATGACAAGAAAATCATTATGAAGGTATAAAAGGGGGGAAAGATCTTATTACTGAGCAGAATGCTCCTCTTCCTTGGTGAAGAGGAATGTTACTTCTACTTTTTCTTGTGCTCATTCAGTAACTAAATACTTCTTCATCCTTGTTCACATAAAGTCCATAGAGCTGTAACATAGTATTTGAGTTCTTTTGTTTGTGACATGAACAACTTCAGGTTTTGCAGTCTGTTTTTTAAGGTCATACTGACAATGGTCTGGCATCAGAAAATTGAAGTCAGTAATTAATACATGCAAGGTTCAGTAGTAATAAATCAGACAGTGTAACATAAAACTCAGTCTTCCTCTTTTTTTTTTTCTTGTGATAGGGAAGCGGTATCTGCTAACAGAAGAAGATATAAAGTTACAAGAATTTCAACAGATGAAAGTGGCAATTAGAAATGAAGTTCATGGCAATAAAGGTATAGAATTTATTTCATCGTCACCATTCTCAATTTTTGCATAAGTCCTAGGAAACAAAACAGTCCAAGTTACAAAAGTATGACACCAATTGATCCCATTTAAAGAAACAACGTATGTCTTCCTCCTGCAAATTTTTTGTATCTACCATTATTGGAAGATCTGAGACTTTGTAAAATGAAACAATATTAGTTATGCTGTGTTGAGAATATGTGTGGAGAAGCTTTCATGTGTGCAAGGTGTTTGCATAAGACCTGAAATGTTTATTTCCTCCCTTTTCTAATTTTTTAAGATAATTTAATAGAAAATACTGTTTCAGTCTACGAATATCGCTTCAAATACATCATCAACAGAGAAGGGAAACACAAAGCCAAATAGTTACCTAAGTATCCAGAAAAGGCCTTCACTGGTAATTCTCTTTTAATCTGTTCTGTAAGTTCAGTTAGCATATTCTTTTAGATTTTTTTTCTTTTGCCTAGTGTAAGTTCTCAGTTGTACACCCACTTCCAGCTGACATATGCTACACCGAATATGAAAAACAAATTCAGGTTTTCCAAACTAATATAGGAGCAGAATCAGTGGATTTTTTCTGGCAGGGATTTTGTCATGCTGTTTAAAATGTATACAAATTCCTTTCTTTAAGAAACATAGATACAAACATGCCCTTATTATTTAAGAAAGCTTAGGCAAAACTCCTGTTTTATCATGTGTGGGTGTTCTAGTGTTCCAAAGGTTGTACTTAATTTTAAGACAAGGAAGAGACAAATAAACAAATCTAGTTTTATGTAAATCAGTCTTTTGGGACAGAGAGGGAAGTAAAGTCAACCTGACACCTTTTTCTATATTTAGTAAAATTTAAATTGTGCGGTTGCAATTCATAATGTTATTATATTTTGCTGTAATGATGACATACTTAGTTTATTCATCCCATACCTGAGATACATTGAATTTATTGCTGTGGGTCAATCACTTTTGCTAAAGCAGATTTGTAGAAGCCAAATGTTTGGGTTTACAGGTCACAGTTGACCTTTTAGTTTCATACAAATAGTAGCCTCTGAAAACTAATGAAAACATTGTGCTAAACATCTGTTTATGTGAATGTGTGAATAGTTTCTGTACTCAGTGTTTAATGTAATATATGAAAAATGAAAATAAGTAATTAGAGCGAATAAAAACTTGGTTTAGTAATGGAAAAAGCAGTAATAACTGTTGCACAGAATATATAATAGCTATTATTTATTGTAGTTATAATCCAACCATTAACGACAATAGTTATACTATTAACTACAGCAGTTATACAATTACCTACAATAGTATAAATACCATTCAGATCTCAGGTATTTTTTTAATTTCTGTGCACCTTTGAGCACATCACAAGCATTATATATGCCTACTTGTATGTATACATTCTTCTAACTTCCAGGATTCAGCTCTGTATTTCAGTCTCGAGTAAGGACTTGCAATTGCATGTAGCAACAGATATGCATCCAGTAACTGAATATGTTGTTCCCTGTGGTGCCTACTTTTTACCTCTTGTGTAGCTCAATAGCTTGCACCAGTAGCACAGCAACTGCTACAAAAAAAGATTGCTTCTCTCCCTAAGATGTGGTCAGCACCATGAGAGGAATGAGGCTGTCAGGTGGTACATGTGGTTTTAATCTTGTGTGTGTTGGTCAGAGGATTGAGATTACCAACCAGAGGACTCATCTTTGTGCTTGATTTGTCATAGGAAAATGGGTGGGATAGAGAACCATCTTGTTTTGGGACAGGGTAAAGGAAGCAACTCTTAAGTTTATGGCTGTGTATAGAAAAACACAGATTATATAGGAGAGTCTTTGTGTTTTCATCAGCTGTGAAGAAATTTAAGTCTTCTGTATGAGCAGTGTTGAGTAGTTCTTACAGTTGTTTGAATGCTGTGTGGAATTGGTTTTGTTTGTTTGCTTGCTCTTTAGAAAAAGAACAGAAGACAAAAAATGTCACAAAACTTTCTTCCTCATTAAAACTTTTCCATTACCAGATATGTTCCATAACATACACAATGAGTTAAGTTCACAATATGCATCTTCTTGGTTTTCCAAGTTTGACATGACTTCATGGAGACAGCTTGGCATGCTTGTCTGTGAGAAGCTTTATGCATTTTTCTTGGTGAAAAAACAAGCTTGCTGATTCATTGAGTCTCCATGTTTTAGGTACCAAGTATGCAACACCTGTAATGGAATTGTCTATAGACTGCTCCTGTTATGTATTTTATTTTCAGATCCATATTTCAGAAGTATTAAAGAAAAATTAAAGAAAAATGGAATAATTCTCAAAAATGAATTAAAAAATTTGCTGCATTTATGTCAGACTTCATCTGATGTGGAATTAGCCAGAAAAGTTATTTACAGGTATTTTTTAAAATCCAGGTAACGCTCTTTTCTGTCTTTATTTTTTGTCTTTTATTAGATCATCTCAGGTTATATCTGCAGTTGAGTGCTTGTCCTGATTCAATGGCTATAGGCATAATTAATCCCTTAAGTTAAGGCTGTGTTTTCATTTTCTTTGGATCTTCAAACCCTTCAAAGACTCTCAGGTCAAAGGAGGGTCAAACTATGAGAGCAAAGTGGTGTCCTACTGCAGAATGAATGGTGAACCACACAGAAAAATCATCCCACAGCTGAGAAGCAGATGTGTTTTCAGGGTTTTTTCCAGCCATGACACGCCTGATTATAAACTGGTCTGGAACCAGCAGTGGCAGATTAATGGCAGGAGGTTTTGTGAGTGAAAACTTTCCCAGCAATTACAGTGTAGGACCCATAAAGTAAAAATTAAAATACTCTCTTTTTGTAGAGGTATTTTAGCAGGTATTGCTGCTAAAATAGACTGCTGCAACTTCTGTGCTATCGTTCCATGAACAGAAGGTAAAGTAGCTGGGAATTTTTTAGATAGAGACCCATTCTATTATTGATCTAATGCAGATTACTCTACTGGTAATAGAAGAGATTATTTATTACTAGTTCATTTATTAGTTTGATCAAAACTATATTTTTCATTAAAATTTAATCTCCTGTTATCTGTATATCTTGGGCTGGTGCAGATAGAGGAGTGTGCCTCTGTCATTGCACGTACAGATCTTGCTCTCTGTTTAAAGCTGTTCTCTTTGGCAAATTCCATGCTCTGTGTGATTAACTTTCTTAATCTTTCCAATAGGTACCATGAACAGAATGGAATAACAGCCTTACAGAATTTTAAATTTGGGCCCCTCTTTATGAGGCTATGTTATGAGCTAGACCTTGAAAGACCTGCAGTAGAACTTATCAAAGATCAGGTACTTCCCCTTATATTTCAAAAATACTGTTGTTGTTGTAGTTATTATTAGTCAATATATTCTCAGTCAATGTATTCTCAAAAATGAGAAATGGTATGCTACTGATAGCAAAACAGTAATTAAAAGGAAATTAAATGCTAGTTTGACTGGTAACTTTATTTCTGTATGATAAAATTGAATAAAAAATATTGACAAAAAAATAATTACTTAAGTTAACATGACTGATGCATGTTTTCCCACATCCTGTATTGCATTAGATGACTCTTGGAATGAATGCTTCTGAGTTTTTCTGTGGTAGCCCTCTGAAATCCCTTTTGTTATTTGTATTAGCAGATTTATCATGGTACTCTACTTCAGATTCCCTCTGAACTCTGTAGAGGTGGTATGATGTTCAACAGCTCAGGAACTTGGCCATTTTAGTGCTGAAGAAACTTAAGGACTTGTTTTTGAACATGTCTGAAACTCTTATGTGTGCTATTAAGGCAAGATGTTAATCATACCAAGTGTGTGCAATAATGTTGTGCATTCAAAAATGTCTGCTAGCCAGTGAAAAGTCATGTCTCTGATGCTAATTCATTAAGGCATGAGATACACCCAGCAAGAAATGGGAGAAATCTTTCTTTGTTCTTAAATTAGACATGTAAAAGTATGTAGTTTTTATTTTAGTTTGTTTTTTTTCTTATTGGCATCTGTGTCATTAGACAGGTTCTGCTGTACTTGCAGGACATGGTAACTGGTGGATACTGAGATACTGAGTCTGAGATACTTCTTCAGACTCTGCTACAGAAATTTAAACTTAATATGTCTGATATTTTATTTGGTTATTCCCAACACAGTGTGGTTGAAGTAGAACATAATATGTAATTTCTCTTTCTTCCGCTACTCTTATCATCATCACTCAAGCTCTTGTGCTGACCTGTTCATCGTTTGATATTGTGATTAGAAAAAAATTCTTTCAATTTCATGGCGATGTGCTTAACTACAAAGATATTGTTCGTCAGCTGCAAGCTGTCAGGGACTTCCACTTGCAGTGACTTAGGGGTTACAATCTGTCATTAAAAAAATGATAGGAGGACTCTCTGGGAAATTTCTGTTTAATTTTGGTGAGCTTTTGACCATACTGAGTCACTGATATTTTAGAGATTACTTGACAGAGGGATGGACAGTCAGGGAACCCAGAGAGTTAAATGTTGAACTTGTAAAGAAGAGACTTATTCCAGTAGGAACACCTGCTAAATGCTGTGCACAGTAAGACTGTTCACTCTCCCGACCTTTTTTATGTTTGCTCTATTTTTTTTCCAGAATTTGCATGGTTTTTTCTCAGAGAGTACGTCATTCCATATTTTGATGACTATGTTGTTTAAAAAAGGCCAATTTGAAAGTAAGTATTGTGTTTACTAAGACAAGTTAATTTTGAGGAGGATGCTTCTCACTGTATGTGTTGTGTGCGTATATAAATATATGTATTTTTTTAATGAACATTGCTAGTTGGCTATGGTTTTAGATGGCCAAACATCATGTAAATAAGTGTAGATGGGAATGAGTTGCGCTGTAGCATGTAATAAAAATGGAAGACAGTATTGGTCTTCTAATTCCTGCAGTATTCTTGCCATTCAAGTTGCCTGGAATTGTTTTTATCCAGGAGACCTTGTGTCCTAAACCCTCTTCTCTAAAGTGCTAACTTCTTTTTGCTTTGTAATTTCCCATAGCATTTTGTTTTCTCTATTCAGAGTTTGCTTTATGTGGATTTTGAAATGGTATGTTCTTCAACAGTTTTTTGGCTGTTTTGCATTAGTGTCAGTGCAGAGAAGAATACCCTTTTTCCAAAACTGCGGTCTTCTCTTGTTTTGTCTTACTAGTGCCATCACACAGAGTGGCTACTGCGGTGTTTAAGTCCAGTGCTTCAAATCAGTTTGGCCCTTTGTGAGGATAAGGAAAAATCATCTAACCTAACTTAAAAGACTTTTCACGAGAAAACCTTAAATTGAGTATGGAATAAGCTTTTCAAGCAAATCCCTTTATTTGAAATCTGTTGAATACACAGCACTTGATCTCTTGATGTTTAGCAAATATAAGTTCAGCAGCTGCCCTAGAAGTTGAGCCTGACCCATTGTAAAAATAACTAGATCAGCACCTGAATGCAGGTGTTATGCTGAGGCACATGAGTTATTGAGGGGATGTTATGGAGTTTGCCTAAAGTGGTGCAAGATTTCTGGGCAGTAGAATATGGCCTTACTCTTTCATTATTTTTATATGAATCTGAAGCTAAATTCTAGACACTTGACAAAGTCACCCTCATTCTTCCTAACTGCCCAGAAATCTTGCTGTTATATCCAACTGACCATGCATTAAACTTTTTTAATTATTTTCTTTTTAAAATAATAGATTTCAGTTTGCATTCTTATTTGCAAATAGACTTACTGAGCTCATAGCATGTTGAACTATTTTTTCAGTTACTAAAGGTATAGCCATAAATTTGTGAAGTGAGTAAGACTAATATATTTTTGATAGGTGCTTTGGAAGTTCTGGTAGAAATGAAAAAACAAGGTATACCTTTCAACAAAGAAACATATCTACTTGCATTTGCAATATGCTATAAGCTGGTAAGTATTTTCAATTTACATTATGAAAAAGTGTTTGAAATGCCTTTTTTTTTGGATTTTAAAATTTCCATATTTTCCCTGTCATGATTTCCTGTCTACTGGAAATATTTTAGACATATTTAAGTCCTAAATTGCTTCATTGTGCCTGATATAGTGCCCATATAGAGTTTCCCATACAAACTAATATCACAAAACAAATCTCTGAACATAAGCATTAAGGAACAAATTTGCTACAGCCTTATAGTATTCTTTCTCTGGGAACTTTACAACTCTTCAGACTATACTGTGTGCTTGAGCCTCAATATCGATTTTATAGTGTGGTTTCCTTAAGAGACAAGGCTTATATGTGATATGGTGTGTTTGTCAGACATCCCCCATCCATTTCCCCCCTCCCCTTACAAGTAGCCTTGAACCATTTCTGTAATTGCACCCAAACTTGACAAGGAATAGAGTTGTCAAAGTTAATCTGTTCCCTACGTGCCTGATGAAAATGGACAGCTGAGTGAAGAAAAAAAACCTAAATGAATGCCTCTAGTGAGAGACAGGCTGCCCTTGAGCTTACCTGTCTCAAAGAAAAAGAGCATGAACATGGTGAGAAGCTGGGCTACATTGGTTTTACAAGTGTTTCCTTAGAACTGTTTTCCTTTTGTAGCAAAGTGAGATCCCAGAACTTTTTTATTTTGATCTTCCTCTCCAGATTTGAGTCGGTTTTGCTGTTTGAAATATTAACGTGGACCCTTCCCAAACTCAGTTAGAAAGTTTTCTTCCTTTTTCTCTTGTGTTACGAAGATGCTAGCTGAGGAAAAAGTTATACCACCAGACTAAACTTCCTCAGGTTTCTCAGTTAAACATTAAATGAAACTGAGTGCGTATGTGAAAAAGGAGTAGGCCTAAAATAGTACCTCAGTAGTAGTTTACGTGGTGCCTCTGCAGTTCTCAGTTCTAATGAGTTAGCCCTGCCTTTAGGTCTGCTGTAGCTTCTTCCCTAAAATCTTTACATGTTTTTTTACGTGGCCTGCAGTCAGAAGGCTTGGACCCATGGCACATGCAACAGGAAGAGGTTCCCGAGGCTTCTGTTTTCCACCACATCTGTCCCTACATGTGTTTTCAATAGAGAATCTAACCCATTATTACTATTGATGAAAATAGAGGGGAAACAATTCTAAACTGTCACCCAATTGTTTTAACAGCCACAATAAACTCATGGGTTTTTTCATTGAGATAAAATACTACCAATAGAGGAATAAGCTGTAGTAACCCTATATGCGCTAAAGAGGATTAGGTGGAGGTCTTTCAGAAGCTTAATCTGTTGATTCATGGAGGAGGAGGAGGAGAAACCATGAAGCTCAAAAGTACTTTTGTGCATGCTGCAAGATAAGAAATGTCAGAAAAAATCTTGACGGGAAGTATCTTCAATATGCACTACTTGAATAATGAAAATAGTGGTAGTGATGTCATTAAGAGCTGTGCTCAATTTTTACCAGGTTAATTTTTGGGTTTTTTATGAATAATTCTGACAGAGACCAGTACGGAAAAATGTACAAGGCTTAAAGCTCAGATTATTGCCAGTGGATAAACAAAGGAATTGATGTTTAATCTTTGTTCAGAGGTGTTTTACAGGTCAACTCTGAAACACTCCTGGGATTTTTTCAATCACTATAAGGCACTACTATCATCTGAGACAACAGATGGTCCTTCTTTTAGTGCAGGAAAGAGCTATAGGCCTTTGGATGACAGCAAAGTATTTACGTAATAATCAATCTTCTGGTGATCAGAATGTTTCTAAATTTTTAAGAACATGTTTTAAACCATATTTTGCAGGAATGACACTGAACACTAGGAACAGAAATCAGCACCAAATATGAGGACTCTTATCCATATTGGTGGTACCAATTGTTACAAAATCTTCATGCTGCCAGCTTTTAAGTTTGGCAGATACTATTTTGTTTGGAATCCAGTCAGTTCCACCCATAGTTTCCAGTGTGAGCCGTATTGGTTTGGAGAGTTGGTGGTTTGTGAGGTAGCAGATAGCTAAACTCATTGCCTTTTATTATAGACTCTAGTGAAAATTGTCCCAGGAATAATGGAAGCTTTCTATGTTGAAAAACATGCAAATGTCTAAACAGTCATATTAGAATATATGCTTTGGAAACATTTTTCAAGATTTGATCTGTAAGAGAGGCTAAAAAAATGGCTGAATGTTCAAATTTGCTCATACACAGACTTCTTTAGTGTAGTGCTGCTGAGTAGTTCAATGCTTAGAAAATACTGACTTTTTAGTAACTACCAAATGTGGATTCTAGAATAAAGGACAAAAATTAATCTTCCTTCCCGATTTTGGAATTATTCAAAAGTGAAAAGTCTGTTTGGTTTAGGATATTGCCACAGTTTTTTTTATCTCTTGTAGAAGCCAAAACAGGGCCAGGTGTAATTCTTAAAAGAATGGAAGTTATGTTTACCTTCTTTTGACCTCTGTCATTTTAAATATCATATTTTGACGTTGTGTTTCTCAAGAAGTGCTGCACAGTATCTGCTTGGTTGGGTTTAGATACATATTACCTTGGTGATCATACATATGTTGACTTCTGCATGCCTTCTGAATGTGATTGCATTTGCTTACAGTCCTGTCAGATCACAAGAATAACAAGTGCAACTTACTTTGAAATTTCTATGCAGGACAACCTGGAGTCTTCCAAAATCTCTGCGAAATTGCTTGAAGAAGCACAGCTGAAAGGTGACACCTTGTCACTGCGAGCACACTGCTTTGCCATGGCAACTGCTCTCAAGCAGGTACAATGCCTTTTGTTTTAGGTTCTGCCTGGGTCTCTATAGTTTTATTGTGAAAGAAAGTTAACATGGAGAAAGTGCTGATCTATGTAACAACTTCAAGTATTGAAACTTTTAGGCTCCTGAAACCGTGTGATTATAGACAACTTTCACATAAATTGAACCTGGAAGTTCTGAAATATAAACATGTCTTGAGTCTAATGTATTTTGGGCTAGTGACAATGCCGTGTAGAATATTACTAGAAAACGAATGAGTTAGGCAAACAGGTTAGATGTAACCATGGATCTACTCCTGCAGATACTACTATTTGGTAATGATTTCTTTTAAATAGAATTTAAATTATAATTTAAAATATTTATGCAATCGTCTCTTTAAAATGGTTATCTTGGGAGGCAGGCTCAAAGCCTATGATGTGTATTGCCCTACTGCATGGGAGGTGGCCTGTCTTTCTTCTCAACATGTTTCTGCTCGGGGAGGTTTTCGTATACCTCATGTGCCTAAGCACTGAGGCTCTGAGGCAGCACAGGGTCAAATTCTGAGCAAGAGAATAACACTTAGGAAATTCTAAAGGCTGGAAGAAATCTCTGCAGTTAATCTGTGTATACAGCATGGGTGTGCTCTGAACCTTCTCTGTTTCATGTTAAAACAGAGGTCAGAGACACTGGAAGGACTACAGATTTGGTCTTATTCACAAATTTTAATGAATGAAGTAGAATTGTTAAAGGTTTCTTGTGCATTGTGTGGTCTTTTTTACTCTGTCTCTGTGAAGAGAGACACTGAGCAATAGCAACACTGAAATAAATTTATTCATGTGCATGATGACATGATAGAACTTACTGAGTAAAAACAAAATCCCTATCTCTGAAACAAAATGAAATGTGCTTGATGTTGCTGTATGTAAAAATCTGATAAAATTCTTGTTTTGCAAACGGAGTAATGCTCCACATTATATTTAACTGTTCTTTAAGGTGCATGACCTTTGTCAGTACTTATTGCTGTGAGTAAGATGTTTCTTGATCTCAAGAAACATTGCTTGGTCTAGTAAATACCAGTGTAACATTAACTCTCTATACAAATCAATTGTATACAGGAGATACAGTACTGTAAATGTGTATGTCCAAAAGGTTAAAAGGGCTGGGCAGGATAAATATCCACATTAACATATGCTGCACTTTGTTTAAGTACTCTGAAATGTGTCAAACTGAGCATGTGTGTAGATCTTGTATCTTTTAAGTGATCTCATGCTCAGTGTTGGTTACGTGCAACACATTGTAGTAAAGACCCAGATGATATGAGAAATGCAGCATGGGGTGTTTCTTTTGCAGGCTGCATGCTGTTTGGTGTCTATGGGTCATGGTGAAGGGGTTTTAAATGCTGGTTTGTGATTTACTGAAAAGTTGTGAAGGACTGTTTTTTCTCTTGAACTTTATTGCAAAAGTTTGTGATGCATGTTTGACTGTATTTTTTTTATTATTTATAATTCCTTCCCAGAATGACGTAGCGCAAGCCAAACTTTATTGCTCCCAGATAATGAAAACAGAGAACAAACTATACAATAATCTTAAAGTAAGTATGCTTGCTTTGTATTAAAGTCTTGCAAAGGAGTATGCTATGCTGGACAAAAAACTTCCATGTGCAAAGTAACGGAGGGGCAACTTCTTAGGAGCACATGTGTGTGTTAGTGGTGTTGATGAGCTTGTTTCTGAGTCAACAAATTCTGAACTGTTAACAGTCCTCAACTATTTTTTAAAATAACTTCCTACCATAGATGAGACTAGTCCTACATCTGTGGGTATAGAACCATGAGCAATTTCTAATTATGACACTGTAACTTTTTGCTTCCTTGCTACAAAAGATTGAAAAAAACCCACAGCTCCAAGTAAATGCCTTCTTTAGCTGTGCTCTGCCCACTTCGGGCCTCCTTCAGCCCTGCAGACCTTAACCACATGTGTACGTACAACAATTTTTTTGTTTACTTGCACAGTCTATAACCTCAGAGAAAGTGTACTGCAGGTGTCATGTAAGCGACTTCTCTGAGCTATGGCAAAAACCACTTTGTTCAAGAACAGCTAATGCAGCTTCATCAGAGGAGCTCTACCTTCAGACTCACCCTGCCTTTCCAGGTCCCAACTGTGAAAAAAAAAAACAGTGAGGAAATTGATCATTCCATCTGCTTTCTTTGTGATGAATGGATTTTTATCAGTGCAGCATCTGGAAATGTATTTTGTCCTGCTTTGCCTCATGTCTTTCTCAAACACTTTTTAAAAAATTTACATTCTGATGAATGTAACCACCACTATTTGTGTGGTGTATTTTTATTTTATTTTTAAGGTTCTTGTCCAGCTCAGATCTGGTTTGCTAGAAGAAGTAATAAAGACACTAGAGGCAGCAGTGGAAGTAGATACTCCTCCCTTTGTGAAAAAACTTGAGTTTTCTGAGCAGGTGGTAAGTACACAGTAATGGTACTTGACTGAGACCTGGTAATGGTGGTACCTACAGAACCTCAGGTGCCTAAGTTCACCCTACTAAAGTTGTTTGGGTTCTGATGCCAAAGCACCTGTCTGGCTTCCTGTACTGTTGGACAGAACACTTAGCTGTTCACTTTCCATGGTCTTGCTCCTGGAAGCTCATACTTCATTTGAATGTAAGTGAAGCCTTCCCTAGTGGCATTAAATAATTTAATCCCTTGCTTTCTATGCTATTTTCATTTGATATGAAAATGAGAGTAAAGTTTCTGATCACAGTGATATTGTTAGATTGGTAATATTTGCAAAGATCTGTGCTATACAGGGAAGTGTGATATGAGAAATAGTAGCTTTTGCTATTTAACTGTGTTTTACTGTGAAAACTGTTTTTACAGTCTTGATCAGCAAGAAGGCTTTCTCATAGAACATACGTAGCCTCTATCAGTTTGTCAGCATTCCTGCTGCTTTTCCTGAAACTCATCAGTGAATTCCTTTTGAATGTGCCTGTAGAACAAGGCAAGAATAATTAAATACTTAGCCATTCACTGCTGCCTATTAAACAGAATTTGTAACTGATATGTAAAATATCACGTAGAAGGGGGTATTCCTCTCAAGGCATAACCCATTTATATTAACTGCTATGTCAAAAAGAAATTCTTTAAGCAGCATTTTGTTTTGTAAAGTCTTCGCAATAAACGTTCCATGCGTCGGTGTTGTATTTTGATTTTGTTTGGGAAATATGTAACAAGCATAAAAAGACTAAGCATTAGTCCTAACCCTTCCCTTCCACAAAAGCTTATGGATAAATAACGGTTTTTTAAGAGATTTACTTAACACTTGAGTTCATACTCTGTGTATGGCATACAGAACTTCTCAGTTCTGTAGACTGAGTCTGTAGTCTGTCAGACTCTACAGTCTGACTTATTGATTTCTTCTGTACTGTACATTTACTGAGATGCGTAATAATAATTAGAATTGTGCTGATCTGAAAAGTAGATTCCAGGAAGCAATTAAGTTTCCTGGATTTAAATAGAAAATAACTGTGTTATTCTGTACTAGGACTGAAAATAGGACTGTACAATTTCAAGGAAGTTTTAAATGTAATAAACCCTCTCTGATAGGTATCCAGTGCATTTCCACCATTGTGTGGTGTGTGGTGATACATAATGTGTGTTCCATAAAATCATTGCCTTAGCAACCTGTCTTATGCTGTGTGTTTGTTTGTTTACGATGAGTGATTGCTTGTCTTTGGTATGATAGTAGAACATGATCTTCACTTGCTGAACTGTAACAATATGTAAATTTCTCTTCCTCAGCTGGCTACAGTCAGGGAAAAGATGGAAGAAAACCCTAACCTTTCTGTCAAATTAGGAGATATTTGTACAAAACTACAAGCTTCTGGACAGATTACCATGTGCACACTAGAAGACATGCTTTTCCAGATTCCTAGTTCAAAGAAGACTACTGCAAAGCTTTTAAGTCAGAAGCAATTGGGCTATCAGGCTGCTAATCCGCTTCAGTCAAATCTGTTGTTGGAATAGTTCAGTATTTGGTGGCAAACTAAACTGCCGATAGCATCTCTTAGAAGCCAGGTTCAAATAAAATGCCTTCTCCCGATTTCCACAATGAGCAAGTGACCTCTTCTAATTTTCTGATATTAAACTTCCCAGTGTAGCAGATCTTGGCATAAATTTGCGAAGTTTCTTAGAGCAAGTACGATCACATTTTTAGACTGTAATGACTGTGATGGCTTTAATGGCTCCAGATCAAATGTGCTTGATCTGTAACTGTGAGTCCTGTACACCCAAAAATCTGTACTCACTCACCATCCAGAATAGAAGGAGTCGGAAGCAGTTATACCTTGGCTGGCCTTTGCATGCTTTTGGTTTGCTTCTGCCTATGAAGTGATGAACCTGTTGATACAGAACCTGGCAGTCCTGTAAGCACTAGACTAGTTGGAGCCCAGCTTGGTACTCGTACTCTCCAAGCTGGGCTGCATTATCTCCTCTGGATTCTGTTCTTTTTATTTTGTCTCTGCCCCAGTCGAGCAGTGTCAGAACTCAGAGTATACTTTCTGTGAATGAATCTGTGCATGCTATATCAAACTTTGTTGAAGCCAGTGAGGCACTGTGAAGGAACAAGAACCCATCCATGCAGAAATACGGCTTCAAAGAAAATGTGGCTACAGCACGCCAGAGGTTTCTGTCTGAGACTCTAACTCTCTGATTTGTTGCTGTTGCAATATGTCCTGTTAATACTAAAATGCACAAAAACTGTTACACAGTAGAGGGAACTTCATACAAGTGTAAGTGAAGAATCATTTGAGTATGTATTACATTTTTGTGAATCACATGCACAGTGTTTATGAGTGGTGGCATGAACTAAATACTACATACATTAGTCTAAGAACACAACTATTACTTTTTCTGTAGTATTGTGTAGCACATAATTCCACATATAGTTCAGGATAGCTTCCTACCTGAGGCTGTATCCTACCTGCAACTGAAGTAATGATAACTTCTATTAAAATTGTCAGTATACCTGATGTTTCCATTCTTTGTTCTCTCGGCTACTTGTTTTCTTGAGGTTTATTTACTCCAAGTTACAAATTGATATTTTTTTTTTAAGAAATAACATGTCTTTGTCTTAAGAAAGGAGATACATTTAAATAACTAAAAATACTTTAGTAGAAGAAGAAAGCAGGGACTCAATGAACGTTAAAGAATACATTCAAAGAAACACAAAATTCAGACAATTAAAATTAGAATATTGAATGTTGAAGTGTTTTAGAAGACTGGTAACATTATCCCTCAGAAAAAAGAAAGCTGGGAAAAATAAGCAACCTCTAATATTTATGCAGCTGATTTCCAACAAAGTCAAATTTGTGTCATACAAGGTGCAGAGACTTGTTAATTGGGAAATCTTGGATTTGAGTGATTATTTATGATTTTGTCTTTTGGTGCATCAAGGTCCTAAGCACACTGGCTTTTGTGCTGAAAAGTCTTCATCCTTGTGCTTAGTTGACTAGATTGTGCTGACTCCTGGTTTCCAAGCACCCAAGATCAGGAGACCAAACTTGTCTAAAGATAAGCAAATACTTAGAGATTTTGCTGGGTCAGAGTGGCTGAGTTACTAGACAGTTTTTTTGGAGACAGCCTCAGACAATAAGATCCACACTATGTTATTGCAGCTTTTAATATTTTTTTTTTCAATTATGAACCTTGAAATAAAAGATAATTCAACATTCTTAAATTCAATAACAGATTTTTTTTTTTTTAACAATCTGAAAAAAACCCAAGGCATTTACATTTCAAAGTGAATTGCTACATTTTTTTCTCTAGGTTTCACTGCAAGAGATTCTGTAGGAAGTGCTGCTTATGTAGTAAGTAGCTCAGATGAGGATCTGAGGCCCCTTTTGGGACCTCTTGTGTGGAAAAGGATTGCTCCTTATCATATTCAAATGTTCTTCGTCCAGTAAAAGACAACGTGATTTTTGTGCATGTCCTTGCACCCCAGCAGCTTTTTGGAGCAGTGATCCAAGAGACAGCAGGTGGCGTTTCTTGACCATACTTTGCTGCCAGTGTTATTTCCAAGGATGTACTCGCCTGCAGTGTCACTTAACGCAAAGGCAGGGCAGAATGAGTGGTCTGCCCTGTGTTTAATGCATGCCGTGTTAAAATGGAAAATCCAGGCAACAGTCGGCTGCCTCAAGTGGTCAGTGATGGTTGATGATGACTGCAGACCTGAAGATTTGCAGAACTTAATTTGAAACTTTACTGCATTTATTGAAACAACTCATGATCATAATACATTTTTTACAGTATTCTGTAGCAATACTAATTGATGACCTAGAAGACTGGGTGTTGATGTTCTTCCTGTACACCAGTGACAGTTATACAGGCTTTACCTTTAAGAGAAAGTTGGGCACTGACTTGAATTGTAAAAGCATTCATTTTTACATTCAAATGGGATCTGGATTTTGTGCAGTCTCTAAAGGCCTGACATTCCTCTGCTGTAGATGCTTCTACTTTTCTCCATAAGTTAATACTTTGTTTTTCATATTTCTTTCCACAAATATCCTGAGTCTTGGTGAGGGAGGATCACTTTCTTTGTGCTTCTCCCAAGTTAGTTTTCTGCTTCAAAACAATAAAAGTAGAGGTGAAAGGCTTAGTCATTGCAGGAGTGGCTCCAGGCCTTAAGAAGAGTTTTCATGTATTTGATGAACCTTCTATAGGAGTTTAAGTAACATGAAGCAAAGACTTGTTAGAAGTTTGCAGCCGTATGGAAAATAGGGAGACGTACAGAATATAGCTGTGCAAATTTCCAAATCATATGATAATCATGTGCTCACAAATAGTCATGATGGTAGCTAGTCTGGTAATTCTACCTTTCAGACTGGAAACCACTGAATTTAGCTAGACTTGGTGTAATAACAACAAGGTGGTCTTGAGAATCAGCAATGATCCTAAATGGGCATGAATAGTCTTTTCAGCAATTCTTTACAGGACCTGTGGTGTATGGTCAAATATAATTCCTTTTTCGGTGGGATAAGATCAACATTGTATTGCTACTGCAATTCTTCTAGACAAAACCAGTGTCCTCAGCCTTCAACTCAATTCAATTGCAAGATTATCCAGTTAGACCCAGAATTATTTCTCCTTTTCTGGTTCATTTGAATATGATAGTCCTGTTATTTTGGCTTGAGATGCTGGTACAAAGTTTTCACAGACAGCCAGTCTTCTGAAACGTCACAATTTACAAGGAAAACATACATCTCAAATGAGCTTTTTTTCACTGTATCAGTAAGAACAGGCCATCAGAGAAATGGTCTTCATGTTTCTTGCCATCTTTGAAGTAATTTAAGGGGTCAGCTTTCTACATGCAATATCAAAGCAGACAATGGTGTGCACTTGCACCATTTCACCAGCAGGCTGCTCTAGTTTTCTTGACAAAAAACCACAGCTTTATGTTCAAGTAATTACCACTACCTTCAGGAATAAGACGAAAAAGGTGCACTCACTGTTGTCAAACACGAACCTTTGACCTAGCTGCCTGGGCTGATGGTATCATTGAACAGGCAATGTGACACTTGTTTGCTTGGAACTGCTGTGACTGTTCCTGGAGTCACAAGGGGATATGTGCTCGCAGCAACCTGCCCCTGCATCCACTCCAGCACCTAGTCCAAAAAAGATGTTGTCTTCTTATTTCAGATTAAAGGCTTTCTTTTCAAGGCTTTGTATTCTAGGTAAACTGTAAGAGGAACTTTTCATGTGCAGTTTCCCTGACTTGTAAGCTGGTAGTTGTTTTCAGTTTCAAAGCAGTTAAGGGAAGTTTGTGGAGTCTCAGTCCCATTGACCGATGTAAGATGCTTGAAGAGAGATTAGAGCCTCAGCCATATCCAGCAGAAACTGCAAAATCAAAATGAAATAGAAAATTACCCATCTCCAGTCTTGTGTCTGCTATGCAATTCAGGCTAGCAGATTATCACATTTACTTTAGGAACAGGACATGTCTTGTAGCAGGAGATGTGGCTGCACCAATCTCAACGGAAAATTTTAGGAAAGAATCATGGAAAAGTAGTAACATTTGGAACAGCTGGGAGAGTGCAGTGAGAATTCCCAAGTGTGATGGTTAACCCCAGTCAGCAACCAAGTACCACAAAGCCACTTGATCACTCCCCCACCTGTGGGATCGGGGAGAGAACCAGAAGAGTAAAAGCAAGAAAGAAGTCCTGGGTTGAGATAAAGACAGTTTAATAGGGAAAGCAAAAGCTGCTCGCACAAGCAAAGCAAAACAGGAATCCATTCACTGCTTCCCGTGGGTAAGCAATGCCAGGACAGTTCTCTAAGAGAGCAGGGCACCATCATGCATAGTGGTTACTGGAGAAGACAAATGGCACCACCCTAAGTGTCCACCCACTCCTCCTTCTTCTCCCCCCTTTATACACTGAGCATGATGTCATATGGTCTGAAATATCCCTTTAGACATTTTGGGTCCCCTGTCCCAACTGTGTGTCCTCCTAGTCTCCCATGCACTCCCGGTCTCCTCACCACGATGGCAGTATGAAAAGCAGAAAAGGTCTTGGCTCTTTGTAAGTGCTGCTCAGCAATAACAAAAACATCTCTATATTATCAACACTGTCTTCGTCACAAATTCAAAACACAGCCCAATACTAGCCAAAACCAGCACACCAAGTAACAACTCCCTGGTAATTATTTCATCTATAACTACATACTAGTGCTGTAACATTTCTTTCAGCTTTCTGACAGTAAATGGACCTTCCTCTGGATGGTAGGATTTTAATAGTAGGGGCTTTTGTTGCTGACTTAACTGTTTGAGAGTGGTTCTGCACTCCTTTCAGCCACCATATGCTGCAGAACTAGAGACAGAGAGTCCAGCATAACTTGTTAGAATAGGAAAGGGAATCAGTTCACAAATTCACTTTACATAATTAAAAAAGTCCTAAGAATCGTTAAGCATGAACAAAATAGTTTGAGAAACTTCTCATCCTCCTTCTCTATAGTACCATCACTTGGGGAGGGGTAAAGGGAAGGGGGGAAAAAAAGGAGAAATAAAAGGCAGAGACATTGTTGAGAACTTCTTCTTTATGTTTGAAGCTTTATCAGTTC